ACACAAAAGCTGAAGAGCAAATAACTGGTGATAATTATAAAATGGTTATGATTATTTTAACAATTTTACTTCAGTTTGCTGGTTTCTGTTCAGTTCAACCAGATCAGTGTTAATGTTTTATTAACAGTTCAGTTTAGTTAATGGTAACTAAACCTTTCCTTACCCTAACCACTGTTTACAGTATTTGACATTTTTACTTTGTAATATTTCTTTAATTTGATACATTTTGTTAAATGACAGCAATAAAATATTGTTTATTTGTAAGTTTTGGTGATTTTCCTATAATTTATCTGTCACTAGTTGTGTATGTTACCAATTAAATACAAATTAATTATAATTCCTAAAATTATATTTTAATTCCTAGAAATTTGGGTTGCGGCTTGATGACCATGTGAAAATGTGGGTCCCATGGCCAAACCAATTGAAAACCCCTGTTATAGAAGACAAAATGCAGATGACTGGATGGATGTGTTTAAAGAACTGTGGCCATCTGGTGATTTCACGGGCGATGCATGCAACTAACAAAAGGTCTGGTTTAGTCATTAACTCAGGTAAACTGTATGTTATTATCCTATAAAATTACATTAATTACAATCAATAATCAAACATGTTTGAAAAATAATTAAAAACATGATGTAATTTAGTTCTATACTGCCCATACGGTGATACATCTTTTTTCGTTTGTTTTTTTTTCAACGCATTTAACAAGTTTCCTAATCTTTTAACATGGTCAGAACAACATCTGTCTATGTAGGCAATTAACACATTTCTTGTTGCTTTGATACAGAATGTATAGGTAACAACACCAATTTCAAATGCTTGAACTTCTTTTACACACAAAGCTTAACCAAGACCAAAACAATGTCATTGTTCAATGTCATGCCTGATGCTCCCAGATATGCTCACATTCCACTGACAGACTAAGTTGTTATGAAAAAGTTATGTCGAGATCACGACTTAATTTTGTTGTTTCTTTCGTGCGTTAAGAACCAAGCAAACGCCTACGAAAACGTAGTTTATTATGGACGAACGCATTGGCTTTTATTTTATTTTGACCAAGGACTGACTCAAATTGAGATTGTACTATGCCTTTGACAAGTTCCATATCAGCGTCCAACACTTGAGAAGGAGGATTTCGGCTTGCAAGTCAACTTGAAGGACCAGGACGTCTGCACGGCTGACCATATAAATGGCAAGAGAAGTGCAGTTAGTTTGGGATCCAGCAGGTGTGGAGGAGAAAAGAAGAGAGAAGACTGTAGAGGCGACATTACGCTGTGCCAGCGGTAAACGGTTGTGAATTGATGGGTTTATACGGCACATCATCAGGATAAGTCTACTTCACCAACAACTGCAGGATTACTTTCGTGCTGTTGCTGAAAGAGTGGGTTGCCCCGAAATAATCTAATCCAATTTTCGTACCCAAAATGTCCACGTCAACAGATTACAAGATGATTCAACTGGAACTGTGCATGGGCCGTGTGTTTTTCAAGAAACAAGTTCAGCTAATTAAAGAATAGAAAGCTGATTGGTATCTACAAAAGACATAATGCAGATAACTGGATGGTGTTCAAAGAACTGCAGTCATCTGAGGATTTTACTGACGATGCAGCTGACAAAAACTCATACAGTATAGTTTTTGTCATTAATTCAGGTAAACTGTATGTTATTTATCCTATTAAATTACCTTAATCATAATCAATAATCATACATGTATGAAAAATAATTAAGAAGATAGGCTATGATTTAATTTAGTTCTATACTGTCCATAAGGTGATGCATTGCCAGAAAAAGTACGCCCATTGCAGATTTGGATGCATGTATGAATTTATTTGGCTATGTATGATAAGAAATAGGCCTGTATGTTGGATGAATAAAATAAAATAATAATAAAAAAAAAGATTTTGCATGTAAAATTATCAAAATTTGAAAAAAAAAAAAAAAAAAAAAATATATATATATATATATATATATATATATATATATATATATATATATGTTATTAAAATAGGTAATTAACAGGCCTAATTATTAGATTTTGTTTCCATATGATGTATTAATATATAAATAAATAACAAATAATAAGCAAAAATTTGCGTAATGACATGCAATACTTGATTGTTATTTTTAAAGGCAAAAATATTAACATTATCTTAATCATAAGTGTTTTTTTAATTTTCTATTTATTTAACCTATTTAGTTAAAAATGTTATTTAAAAATGTTAAAATTATAATATGTATTCAATAACTTTTGTTTTCAGCTTACATTTTCATTTGTATGCAAATGAATTTTCTGGGTTTTAACTGTGTAAATAGCAACATCGAACGAAACAAAAGAAAACATTTATTAAAAACATTTAAAATGTGTAGTCTGCTGACTTGAGACTGCTGCAGCTGCATCAGAATGTCATAGGATGCCTCCTTTCAAAGATGTGCTTTAGCGATTTGAACATGAAAGCAAACCATTCAAGACTGCTTCTGCATAACGTTCTGTTCAGCTGTTTCAAATTAGGACACTCTTTCCTTTTTTCTATTTAAAATATCCATGTTGATTTTAATAAAATTTTTAATCATGCATTAAAAATTTTATTGCAACCTGAATTCAAAAAGCATTTTATGTTATAATAATAATATATTTTACTAAACAAATTAAATAAATACTGTGATGTATAATAATAGTTTATAGTGGTGGATAATGTGATAAAGGACAAAGAGACTAACGCAACTGTGCATAGCATGTCTATATTTCACGTAAAAATTTATATCTTACAAAGATAATGTCAATATGTTTTTGCTTATATAACGATAATAAAAGTAAGTTATTAACTTTCGTGTTTTCCATGACAAATGTTAACCTATTTCCACAATGAACACTCATTCACACCCATAAGGTTGGCATTCCATTAGGTTATATTGCAGCACTTGTAAGCGGTTAGGCTACTTTATAGTTTTAAAATATAACTGAATAGTTAAATATAAATAAATGACTTGTAAAAAAAAAATGGTGGAATTATTAGGCCTACAACCAATGATAAAGCCTAATACAACTTGCTGACTTGCTTCGACATACATACATATTTTTACTGGAAATTTTTTAGGCCTGCATTTCTTATAATACAGCGTAAATACATACATCCAAATCTGACATCTGACTTTGGCACTTTTTCTTGCAATGCTAAGGAGTACGGATGTCGTTCTAATGAAATTACATCTTGTTTTTTACAAAAAATGATGTTATTTTACCAAGAAAATATGTCGTTTTAACGAAATACCATGTCTTTATTACGAGACAAGATGTTGTTTTAATGAGAAATTATGTTTTAATTATGTCGCAAAAGTAAAGGCGATATATATATTATATTATACTTTTCCAGAACTTTTCCTTTTAAGTACATTTTTATAACGTAATGTTTTATGTAATGTCTACATAAAGATGGTAAATAAGAAAAACAATGACGTTCAAATTTATTACAGCATATCATAGAACACGCAACAATCTATTTTGTTAAATTTGTTTTATATATATGTAAAATAGAGTTTGATCATGCTTACAAAGCACTAACAATGTGTGAGCAAGTCAAGAAAAGACAAATAATTCATATTCAAGTTGGGGCTGCACATATAGTTTCAGCGTCGATATCGCAATATGTGCATCCGCAATAGTCACATCACAGGATATGCAATGTTGGGATTATAGTTTAGAGACAGTACATTTTAATCTTTGAGTAAACTGTCCCTTTATGGCCTGATACTGTGTGAACATTTCAATATTTCAAATTTTAAAATATCCGGAAGCAAGAAATGTTTTGTAACTTTAAAAAAGATTAAATAATATAGGATGAAGACTATGCAGTGTTGATTATTCAATATCTGTACCTAAATAGTGAATACCTGAAAACTATAAATTACTTTTATCTTTACTATATTTTATTTATCAATGCTTGTAATGAATCAGAATCAGTTTTATTGCCAAGTGTGCTTCACACACACAAGGAATTTGTTTTGGCTACAAAAGCTTCCAGTGTACACAAAGTGACAGCTGCAGTCAATCATATCAAGTGCTTCTCTCGAAATTAGTTTGTGAACCACCTGATTTCGTACTCCCCTTACATGCTCTATTGACCAGGCAGGAGCCCTGGGCTCAACTATCTCCGAGCCCAGGGTTCTCTCACGGGACAGCATGCAACCTGCTAACATTTGTAAAACAATATCTAAGTTTGAACTCTTGAAATCAGTCAATGGACTACTAGATGTTGAAAGACTGGGTGCGATTGTGTAAAAAATGTCTGCCTGTGGAAATTAGACATGCCCTATGCGTGTGACTTTTAGGACCTCTGCATTCTTGTTATGAAGTAGAGCAATCTACAGCCAAGTGCAGCAGCCACAGAGGCACTGAGATTGTACAAAGACATTCGACCTCTGGTTAGACGACTATAGATATCATACAATTTATAACATGCCATAATCGTAAAAGATGACTATACAATTGTCAAAATGTTTTCTCACCGTTTAGGAAAGTACATCAAAGCATGAGTCAAAAAACTGTGGTTTAATATGAAGGCAACAATACGCATCATACAACTGTAAACAAAATCGATGCAAAAACATTAGTTTGAGTTTATAGAAGCTGCTTCAACAAGATAAGTAAGAATTACTATTGCATGTACAGCATACATTGAAAATGTCTATCATAAACATGGTAAAAACCACCTAATGGGAAACTATTAAACTGTCACTGTAAAATGTGATTAGTTACTTAAAGCGAGTAAACAAATTGCCTTAAAAGAAACAAGTTGACTTTACAAAAATAATTAAGTAAACCCATTGTTACTTGGAACTGTTAAGTTGACTTAATTTTTATTATTACGCAAGTTGTATTCACTTTTTTAAAATAAAAGTAAACTGATCTCTTCCAATACACATTTATTATATATATATATATATATATTTTTTTTTAGCTTTTCTGTGTCTAGCAAAATGACAGTAACTAAAATAAATCTGCTCTTCCAGACTCCAGTATGACTTCTAAATTCAATAAAGGCTATAATTGTAAATTTTATCGACTTAATGAAGCACCAAATATGTAATGTTGTAAAAACTGCAGTAATTATTTGAAGAGACATGCTAAAATGGTTTGTCATTGTAAAAAAGATTCACTCTATTACAATGACTAATTACAATTATTTTATCAAGAGTTTACTTTATTTTTGTAAAGACAACTTGTTGCTTTTAAGGCAATTTGTTTACTCACTTAAGTACTCAGTAACTAGTTACTTTTTACAGTGTTTTCAATCACTAAACCTCTATTATAACTCTTGAAAAAACTCATATACAACTTATTACATTTTATTTTCAGAACTGAATGTAATCAATAAAATAAAAATAATACACTGAAAAAAATATGTATTGGATCTACTCAATTTTGGCAGTTGAGTGGTTGTAAACAATTTATAGGGGCTGAATTTGAACAAATATTTAGTAATGTTTAACTTAATTTGTGTTTAAATTTAGCCCATTTAAATTATTTACAACAACTTAACATAAACAAAATAATACATCTAATGAATCATTTTTTCAGTGTACTTTTAATTTGTAACATCCATAATTTTTGTACACAGTTGTTTATAAAAACAATTAAATTAGTGCAAATGAAACGATTCAAGTGAAACTGTACTGCTTAAACCACAGAATACTTAGATTAACAGTTTAATGTAAACAGTACACAAGGAATAAAAGTGAAAAGAAAAACTATTTACAGGAGTAAATAAACCAGTCCTGTTTAAATTAGCTACATGTCTGATAGAAAGGGTATACAATATGAATTAGCCTACCATTGACAACTAAATCTTATCTGTTAATAGATTTTAAAATGACAATTGTTTCAACTACATCAACTGCTATGTGTATTTAAACATACATCAAACCATCTTTCAACCCTTGTATGGATATTTAAAAAATCCATTACACACACTCCGCTGTTTAGCACAGCTTGAGGTTTAGCATACTTCAACTTTAAACTTTGTATGGCTATAAAATATCCATTACCCATACTCCACTGTTTAGCACAGAGCAAAACTCTGCCCTAAATTCTGCATAGGTGCTGCAGTCGCTTGCCAATTCCAGTTGTTGTGTACAAGTGTGAGCAATCGGCCTTCTTGTAAACTCGCTCATCTCTTTAAATGTTACGTGAATCGTCTTGGAGAGAAATAAATCCGAGCCTGTGCAGTATCTGAGAAAAAGACCAAGCTCCTTCTGGTCTCGCTCCCTAATGAATCGCAAGAGATGGTTTGACACAGTTGTTTCAGATGGGGGCATCGAAAGTGGGAACTTCAGGTTTTTGGCAACATTTCTCGCCTTTGGTTGGAGATCATTAGTTATCTGCTCCAGCCTTTCTGCAGTCATGTTTTCCCCAACAGATTGGAGAATGGGTCGCCAGCACTTTATAATGTACGCTGGTTGCTGCACCATCTCTTTATGTGCAATTTCTTCAAGTATTTTCTGCAGATTCTTTTCCTTTGGAAGTACTGTGCAGCTGTGACTGCTGAGGACACTTAGAACTTCATCCATATCAGCATTTTGGAAGTCCTGGAGCGCTTCACTCAAAACATCCTTCTCTGCTTGACTAATATAACTGAAGTACGCCTCCATGAGACTTGTTTCTGATGGAAGTGACAAAGCTTCTTTTAAAAAAGGAGGCGCCAGCTGAATCGGCAGGTAACCAAAGCGCAGCCATCCAAGCACAAAAATCCTTGCAACAGCTTGCCATTCTCTTTCTTGGTAAGTGTGATGCAGTGTAGGTATCTTGAATGTCGTTCCACAGGTTCTTGTAGCATAAAATATATGCCAAAATTCAGTAACACAGTCCTGGAGCACTCCATCACCAATGCCAGCTTCCTCCTCACCATTTTCAAGAACACGTTTGAAAGTTACATTGGCATGTAGAATGTTTTTGTCAGAGAAAGCTTGAATCATGTCATTGACACAGTGAACTCTGCGAATTACAACGGTTTCACTTTCAGTAACATTCCTTGGGTTTTCAAAGAATGACTCTGGTTCCTGGGAGTCAACTGCCTGAGATGGCACTGACATTGTGTCTTCTGGCACTGTTTCTTCAGCATTTGTGGATTCATGAATAGAGTTACCTGGAAAAACGTCTGGATCTGAATTGAATGGAACGACATCTGTGGTTGTTTCGTCAACAACAAAATCAACATGTACAGGTGAGTCCACAAGTGTGTCAGAGACCATGTCAAAAGATGTGTCTACATCATTACCCAGACAAACCACTTCTTCAGAAGACTGAAGTACATCAATTGAGCTGACATGCATAAGAGGTGGGGATTGCAAAGTTTGACTTCTGTTCTGATCATTACACCCAGAAGTACATGGACCATCATCTGGTGTGGAAGCATGCCGGGGTTTCTTTAGAGTCAGAATTGTGTCAATTTCATCTGATTCTTGATCTTTCAGTCTTGTACACACATACAGCCTGAGAATTCTAAAATGTGTTGCCTCATACAAGCTGCCAATTGTCTGATCTTCTTTAAGTGGATCTTCAGAGCCACTACCACAGAGCATAAACGTAAAATGATCAGCATTTCCTTTTGCTGATTCACCATTCGGGAAAAAAAGACTTTTCCCCACATTCAGAACAGATGACATCGTGTCTTCTTTTTGAACAACAATTTCCCGTGTTCCACCTCCTTTAGGTCTTCGTACTTGTTTGTAGCTGCTATCTTGGTAGTTCATCCAGCCAAGTTCAATTTTTCTTGTCTTAGTTTCAGCATTCCTATTGCCAAATCCATACTTCTTTTTCTGATTTTGAGCTGCTGGTAGTTTCATTTTTCTTCGTTTTGCTGGCATCCAGTTCTTTGCAAAAACCCTATCTCCATATCGGGGAATATACTTAGACAGTTCTTCTTCATTTAGTAGTCGTGCAACATCACAATCAATCTGGGGGGAAAATCATAATATTGTCTTATCATGCTTAGGTCTTGTTGTCAAAGAAAAACAATTAAATGAAGCTGGAAAAAAATAAATATTAATTAGTGGTGTAACGGATCACTAATTCCATGGTTTGGATCACACTAGTTATTTCGTAATAGATGAATCAATTTTTCACATAAGCAAAAAGGGAGATGCACATGTTATTTGCTTTCTTTTTATCACAAAAAGCAGGGATGTGATCCTTTTGTATAAATACGGATTTTCGTATTTTTTGATATCTATAGGGCAACCTTGTAATTTGCGTAAATCAGATTTGCGTTGAAGGATGATGATTCCCGTGGGATTTCCACAGAATGGGAGTCATCTTTGCTGTTAATCAAGGAATTGGGATGGTACAGCATAAGATTAGTTAACGGGAGCAGACGGGAGTGATATATATATATATATATATATATATATATATATATATATATATATATATATATATATATATATATATATATATATATATATACAGGGCTTGAAATGAACCTTTTTGCTTGGTAGCACCGGTGGTCCTAACTTAAAAAATTTAGTTGCATCAGCCAAAATTTAGTCGCACCCACCAATTATTAGCACCGTTACTACAAGTTTTATACAAACATATTTGTTGCACTTGAAATCAACAGTAATCAAACTAACAAGCAAAAAAATAAATGCAAGTGTGAGGAAAATATGTCTCAACGAAACCCCGTTATCACAAGAAAGTACATTTTTATAACATAACTGAGTGACTAAAGGATACACGGACCGCTCAACGGCCCTGCACACACTGCTTGACATGAATGAATCTGTTAACGAAAATAACTGTGCTGTTCTCACGGGTGGTGTCTGATAATGCACTGATGCTTTTGACATATATTGTACCTTCTTATATGCATACTTCATGTTAATAGCAATACCGGTCTTTTCATAAGTAGCGATATTAGTTTACTCAGTGCAAGCCTGTTTGTGATGGTATACATGGTGTTAAATTTTACATATAGCTGCCACTTGCACGGCGGACAGCATCCGGCGATTAAATGAAGGATTAAACAGAACCTCTTGTGCTAGATGTGGCAAACAGTAACCTGAAAATTCCATCAAACAGACTTTTCATAGCGGACTTGAAGCCAATGGAAGTCTTTTATCCACTCTTTGAAAAGTGTAGATGGTGGATTAACGTTCAGCACAGGATCACTAGTAAGATTAGTCATTATTTGTAACTTTAGATGCCATGGTTTCTAAAAAAAAATCTGTCAGTGTTATCATTATTCTCATCTTCAGCGCTTAACCATTCTTTCGCGGTAGTTGCTCTCTCTGTCATCCCAAGCCAGAAGGCTTGACTGAGTGATTGACAGCTGATATTTCAGTGCTAAAGCAGGGGGCCAATAAGAAGAGCGCGAAGGCGGGGCAAGCATTACGGACTAAGCTTTGTTTACTGCAGCAAGTTGACATAACAACTGTTTTTAAAGTGCGTTTCAAGTGCAGAGATGCATTCTGTGTGAATGTCTCCCAAATCCGCGTATGTGGTGAACATTTTGCAGTAAAAACTGGTCGCACAAAACAATTTTATGCACTCGCACAAATGCTCCAAATATATTTTGAGGTCGCATAGATACAATTTTGGGCGCATATGCGACCAAAATTCGACGACACAATCATGTATATAAATTTGAAAATCAGACACAGAGTCTAAAAACCCCTTTTTATTAGGAACTACTTTCTTCCCCTATTCATTCACATCTGCAGTTGACGTCAAAACAGCAGAAGCCGTTACTAATTCACCAATGTCACTTTAGAGCTAGTGTTTGAATGATTCTCTATAGCCTAATCTCTATAGCCTCTATAGCCTAATGTCTAAAGTGATTACAAAAGAGCTGATTTTGTTCACTTTAAGATTATAAGGCTGAACATGACATGAAATGCCATCCATCTACAGAGATATCTTATTACAGTGTTAGAGTCTACAGTATTTCTATGTTGCAATCGGGATATCACAACAATTAACCCCGAAAAAAGCAACGCAATCAACATCAGACTGCGTGTTGTTTGCGATTAGGAAAAACGCTAAACACGTGCAGACTTTGCATATTTTAATCTGCTAACACAACACACATTCCTGATATGCGAGCAAATTGATATAAATACAGCACTACAACATACAAAAGTGAGAGATCATCTAATCAAACTGGATGGTTGCGGGAGATTGGTATAAAATACAGGATATTCCCAGGAAAAACAGGAATGTTGGCAGGTATGCTTACCAGTTTAATAACGATTTGATCTGCTATAGTTAGAAATCAGACTGTTATGAGCTTCTAAGCATTGGAGCTTTATTATGAGGTTCTGGTGCCATCTTGTGGATAGAAAACGTCAACCGTCTTTGGTCTGCTCAGTATGGCGGGTTAATGGCTACCAGGTCTGTCAGATTTTGTAAATATTTTAAAATAGGCACTATTCTTGCAAATAAACTGCATAGTTGCAATCTAAACAACTACATTCTTGACTAAAAAAGCCTCATAAGAACATTTTGTTGTCTAAAAACAGCAATATTTGTCAATCTGTAGTGTCTGCTCGTTGCTGGCTGTATGTGGGCGGAGTAATACACAAACGGTAAAGAGGCTGTACGGATGCTGATATTACTTAAATATCTCACGGCTGCCAGCCAATCAGATTTAAGAACTAGACAGAACTGTTGTATAAATATAACACACACAGATACAATAAAATTCTAATGTATTACCTAAAAACTAAAAGTATATTATATATAAGGGAGTGGTACAGAAGCGGGAGTCATTTTAAACATGAGTGGGATGGGAGTGGGAGTCAATTTTACCAGGAGTGGGATGAGACAGATTTTTTTTAACTTTGGTCTGGAAGAGGGACGAGACAGGAGTGGAAATCATCTTCCGTGTCATCCTCTAGTTTGCGCCTTCATTGTTTTATAAACCTTTAATTATAAACCTATTAAACATGATTTAGGTGACTAATAAACTGCTAAACATTTGAACTGACAAAACAACAACAAAAAAAAGTTAAATTGTGTGGTCAATAACAAATATTTATATAAAGAATATTATTTTTTGGAATTATCATTTATTATTTAAACACACACAGATATATATGAAGTCAGAATTATTAGCCCCTTTTTGTTTTTTTTTTCTTTTTTAAATATTTTCCAAATGATGTTTAACAGAGCAAGGAAATTTTCACAGTATGTCTGACATTATATATTTTTTAACTTTTAAAATAACATTTTAAGTTCAAAATTATTGGCCCCTTTAAGCTATATATTTTTTCGATAGTCTACAGAACAAACCATTGTTTACAATAATATGCCTAATTACCCTTACCTGCCTAGTTAACCCAATTAACCTAGTTAAGCCTTTAAATGTCACTTTAGGCTGTATAGAAGTGTCTTGAAAGAAATATAGTCAAATAAAATTTACTGTCATCATGGCAAAAATAAAATAAATCAGTTATTAGAAATAGGTTATTAAAACTATTATGTTTAAAAAAATCTTCCCTCTCTTAAACAGAAATTGTGGAAAAACAGGGGGGCAAATAATTCTGGGGGGGGGGGGCTAATAAATCTGGGGTCTGTTCTTCGTATGTGGATTACTTAGTTAGCTGGATTTGGTTATTGACAATTTGAGATGATCCAGGATCGTTTGGTTCTTCAAAGCTGATCCAAGAGTTGTTGTCATAGCAACAGATCTGATAGCTCAAACCTGGTCGGTAGCAGGTTCAATTCATATAAACAGGATTAGATCGGGTCAGTTCAAGCAAAGGTAATACAGAAAGCATGTACCGAATGCTGATAATTTCTTACAGTAGTAGTTATATACACTTGAGAAAATAGTAACTATTTTTAACTATATATATATATATATATATATATATATATATATAGTAAAAAATATATGTATTAATAAAACTTAAGCAATCTGCACCCCCGAAATGAAAGTAGAAAGACTGCCACCTGGTGGTGCAAAGAGAAAAGTTATTGATATTAACTTTTTAGATAGCTTTAGTACAATTTGTGTATGATAATAGAAATTTTTTGAGAAAGAATTAATACATTTATTACACCGATTAAAAAACGGCTACTATAATAAAGAAAATCTTTTCTAAATGTAGAACTAAATACATTGATTTGCATTGAAATACATGATGAATACTCTTGACACATGAAAGTGTAAAGCCTGCAGCTCACAACAAATGTGGAAGGTCATATGTGGACGTGTCATATTTAACAAGCCGTTTACTGCTAATTTGATGTAATTTTGCACACATGGATAATTGAATATTAATCAGATGATGTCATTACGCTGCTGTGCCGTCAGCCAATCGTTGCATTGCTGATCATGATTTGAGGATCGATAGATCTGTCCTTCACAACACAAGCAGCGATGTCAGATCAGTTTATCCAGACATTCTAATCTGATTCGCGAACTTGTTTGAAGAACCAAATTAGCGAGAGTTATCAGTTATCAAGATTAAAAGATCCAGGATCTGCCAAATAATCTTAGATCATTTAAGCAGGGTACGAAGAACGGACCCCTGCTCATGAGCAGGTTTATTTCATGTAAACAGGATTAGATCGAGTCATTTCAAGCAAAGGTAATACTGAAAGTATGTACAGAATTCTGATATTTTCTGACAGTAGTAACCTATAGATTATATACTCTTGGGAAAAAAGTTAAATAGTTTTAAAAAGTTTATATATTACATGTAAAATTTATAATAATTAATTCTTTTTTTTTTTCAGCTTAGTCATTCATTCATTCATTTTCTTGTTGGCTTAGTCCCTTTATTAATCCGGGGTCGCCACAGCGGAATGAACCGCCAACTTATCCAGCAAGTTTTACGCAATGGATGCCCTTCCAGCCGCAACCCATCTCTGGGAAACATCCACACACACACATTTACACAGACACTCATGCACTACGGACAATTTAGCCTACCCAATTCACCTGTACTGC